CAGAGCTCATGGCAGGGATAGAGCTTCAGGAAGGGCCCCTCGTCCCTAGGCACAGGGAGAGACGCTACCTGAAATGATCCACTTGGTTGAGGATGAAGATGTGGTGACGGATCTTCTTCTTGCTGAGGAAGCGGTGCATGTAGGGCACGAAGGCCAGGAGCTCCTCGAAGCGCTCTCGGAAGGGCACCAGCAGCGCCAGCCGGTGCGGGCCCCACGACGGCTCGTCTCGGGCGGGCTGGAGCGGGGCGGGGGGCGGGCAGGGCTGGCGGGGAGTCCCCCGGTCCTGCCCGTCGGGCACCGGCCCCTCGCCCGAGCAGCTGAGCTGGAGCCAGAGCAGCGAAGCGAAGCCCAGGAGCAGCGCCAGGAGGAACAGCGGGAAGGCGGAGAGACGGCCGGGGAAGAGCCGCGGGAGCGGCGGGGACCTGGGGCACGGCGCGGGGTCAGCGGGCGGGGGATCCCCATGCCCATATCCCCCCACCCCCCGCCCCGCCGGACCCCCCGGTGCCACCCCCGTCCCCCCGTGCCCCGCCGGGCTCACCCTCCGCCGCGCAGCCGGAGCGCGTCCCTGCGGCGGGCCGGGCCCATGGCGCCCGCCCGGCCCCGCCGCCCCGGGGACACGCTGGCGGCGCCCGCCGCTCCCCCCCGACCTCCCGGAAACACGGACACGCTTCCCTTCCGCCGGCGGGGCGGGACGGGGGCGGGACCGACCGCCGAGGACATCCCCCCGCCTCCTCCTGCACCGCCCGCCTCCACCGGGGCTCCTCTCCTCGAGGAACATTCCCTCTTCCATGCCGTGCCCCCCGAAGATTCCAGAGAACAGACTCTTCCCTCCCAGTTCCTTCGGGACCCTTCCAAAATTGCCTTCCCACCCAGCTGGGACCCCCTCCTGCCGGAAAAAGCACCCCCCTCACTCCCAGCTCTTTCAGCCCCCCCCTGGCGTTTTCCATCCCATCCTCTCTCCATGTAGAGCCCCCCTTCTCCCCCCTCAGACAGAGACAGAGCCGCAGGTGGTGTCAGTCCTTTAATGCCCCACTCACAGCCCCCTCCCCACAGACCCTCACCTCATGTTCACACCTGCCCCAGGCAGCACAGCAGGTCCCAGCTGGCAGGGGGAGCACTGGAAAAAACTGGGGAGCAACCTCCAGGCTCCCACACCACAGCTCTGGGGGTCCAGAGGGCATCACCCCCCCTTAGTCCGATCTGCTGGAGGCCAAGGGCCGGGCAGAGGTTACAGCCAAACTTACAGACAGGTAAGAAAATACTTCTGGTATTTCTCAGAAACAGCGTTTAGAAACCACAGTTTTTACAGCTCCCCATAGAAAAGATGGGTTTGGGCACAGGTGTTCCTTTAGTAGAAACGCTTGTTCCGCTCCTGGCGCTTCTGGAAGACCACGGCTCCCACCACGGCACAGATGATGATGCCCAGCAGTGCACAGAGCAGGAGCAGGAACACCTTCCAGCCCGTCAGGGGCCCACTCCGGAAATTTCCCGTCGGGTCATCCACGTTGTCTGTAAGAGCAAAAACAGAGATGGTCCCAAGCTTGGCTCCCACGGAGTCTCGCAGGGTGTCACAGCCCCAACATTCCAATCCCCCATGGAAGGTCTTTGAAGCCCATGGACTCACCTTTGGGGGACTTAAGGAGGCTGACCCTTGGCTCGATCTTGGTCCAGTCAACTGTCTCATCTTCTACAGGGTGCTCCACCATGAGCTGGAACAGCTTCATCGAGATAATGTCGTGATTGTCTGTGGAACAGCCAGCAAATCCTGTCAGAAACTCTGAGAGATGTCCAGGCACTCAGAGCACCCCTTGGACCCTGCTCTGCCAGGTCCAGTCTCCCTCCCTCTCAAGCCACCCTCATTCCCAGGTATCAAACTGCAAGCCCAAGATGTTCCTTGGCTCTCAAGTGCCCCCTCCCCCAGCCACAGGTTCCTGCTAAAGATGGTTGCAAGAGCCCAGTGAACAATTCAGGGAAAGGAAGCCATGGAAGCTATCCAGTGCATCCACAGAATCACAGAATAGTTGGGGTTGGAAAGGACCACTGGAGACCATCTAGTCCAACCCTTCTCCCAAGGCAGGATCACCTAGTCCAGGCTCCAACCACCAAATGCTCCCCTGAGCAAAGCTCCCTCTCACCAGACAGATCTCCAGTGCCAGCAGAAGCACCAAAGAAGTATCCAGTTGGCAGCTGCACTCCTGCAATGTCGATGCAGTTCTTCCATTCATTCTTGTCTTCCACATCAGTCATCACCTGCAAGACCAGGGCAGGGTCACACCAGGAATGCTCACCGCTATCCTGCAGCTCTTTCAGAGCTGGAGGTGCTTGAGGGGCAGGCAGCGGAGCCTGGAAAACCACCTCCAGGCCACATACTGCTCCAGCAGCCCCCACCCCACTGAACGTGCACGACCCCCCACAGGTGCTCACCGTGAGCCGGCCCCGGGAGTACCGGATCGCCAGGAAGGTGTCGTGGTTCTGGTTGCGCAGGTCAGCGGAACACCCGGCCAGCTCCGTCCAGCGCCCGTCCTTGCTGTGGTCGTACGTCAGGGACCCATTGTTGACCATGGCCGAGATGTAGGGGAACACCCGCTGCAGAGGGACACACAGCAGCTGCTGGGGGGCTGCACTGCCAGGGCTACCCCGCCCTCAGGGAGAGCAGGGTGGGAGCACAGCGAGTATGCAGCACAGGACCATGGAGTCAAGGCTGCTTCTCCACACAAAACTGCTTCTAAGTTGAGCCAGAGCTTGTTCTGCCTAAAGCCAGGTCACCACTTCCGATCTTCACATCACGACCCCCATTCTGTGATTCTGTGAATAAGCCCACCCTGCACCACGTGGCCAAGGCAGAGACGGCCCCAAGCTTGCAGAGTGGCTGGACAAAAATCACAGAATCATTTTGGTTGGAAAAGACCTCTGAGAACATCAGGTCCAACCTGTGACCCATCATCACCCTGTCAACCAGAGCAGAGCACTGAGTGCCATGTCCAGTCCTCCCTTGAACACAAGAAGTGTAAGAGCAGAGCACAAGACCCAGAACAGGCAGAAACCCCACATAAGCAGCAAAACCACACACAGGGCTTTGTTGCCAGTAGATTTTATACACCAGGAGAGGCCAACTGGAGATAGAAATTCACCTCCCATGAGCATCAAGGCAACAGGGAGTTGGGTCACTTCCAGGTGCTTTATGACTGAAGCATCACATTTTTTGGTGATACAGACCTCAAAGCACAGTTTTGTTTTCTGACTGTGCCATCATGAGATCAACAAACACAGAGCAGGACAGAAGAAAAGGACCCCCAGCCCCCATGGGACCGATCTGTACTGTGACCACAGGGAATTCTGGAGCAAAGAGCCAGCCTAGGAGTTTCTTTCAGAGACACCCAGGTTGCAAAGAGAAAATAAGACCAGAAACATCATGGAATGAGCAACCAAAGCACAGAGCTCAGGAAATGACACTCAGGATGAATATTAACAGGTGGTGCTTGGTTTACACCAGCCCTGTGCCCACTCTCATGTGTGGAAGGAAATGCCTGGGAAACAGCTGTGTAGCCAACAGCAGCACAAGAAGGAGCAAGGACCTTCTTATCTCCATAAATGCACATACAAACTCTTCCCTTTATCAGTTCCTACGACAGGAAGAGCAGACCATGCTCAAGCAAGGGAAGACTTTTCCTTGGACTGGGTGTGAAGCTCTTGGAGAAGGAAGGAAATGGCCTCCTGGGCACTGCACAGGCTCCCTGGACCACTCACCTCCGTGGCTTCATCGTTGGGATACGTGTCAAGGAAAATAGCCAGTCCATGAAACTTGTCCTTGCTGCCAAAGACAGGACCTGGAACAGGACAGAACATTGGAGACAGAAGGCTCTGTGTCAGGATTTATGCTCAGACTTCTGAGCTGTACGAGCTGTTCACTGCCAGGCAGGTGGCTGAGGGCACCTGCTCCCACACTGGACACACGAGACAGAGGGAGCTTGGGGGGCCTCCCTGCCCAGCTGCCTTCTGGGACAGGGTACGTGTGCTGCTGACCCGCACTGACCTGGCACCAGCCGATCCTGCGTGTACCACAGCGCCAGCCCATCCCCGTGAAGGTTCTTCTTGCCGGCTCCGTGGATCTTGAAGTGGACGTGGAGCTCCCAGTCCTTGAGGAAGCAGGGCTGTGGAAGAGACCCCAGCGGCGTCAGGGCGAGACCCAGGAGAGGCAGCGGGGCCGCCACGGACCCCCGCCCGTCTCCCCCCGGGCTCTCACCACGCGGTTCCAGATGGAGCCCTCTCGACTGCGCTCGTCGGGCGTCAGGCGGACGTACTGGCTGGTGACCATGGTGCTGCCCTGGAAGTCCCACAGCGGCATCGCGGCAGAGCCCGCGCCTGCAAAGGGGCGAACAGAGCGCGGATCAGCCCCGGTCACTGTCGGGGCGCACGGCGCGTCCGCCTGGCCCCGCGCTCACCCTGATATGGCTTCATGAGCGAGTGCTCCCGCTTCAGGTGCTCGCTGTTGCCGTCCGTGAGCTCGGCGGGCGCCGGGCGCGGCCCGACCAACGCCAACAGCAACGCGACCACAGCCACCAGCCCGCCCGCACCCGCCGCCATTCTCCGCTTCCGCCTTCCGGCGCCCCGCCCCGGCCCCGCCCCGCAACAGCGGCGGCCAATCAGAAATCCACACACCGCCGCGGTCCCGCCTCTAGAGGTGAGCGACACCGCTACCCGCGTATGGTAGGGAGGGGAGGCGGGGCCAGAGGGAGTGAGAAGCTCCCGCTGCGCTTCGGGAGGAGGAGTCTGCGTACCCTCTCTGCGCGTGCGCGGCGGTTCTGGGGGCATGCCGGGAGATGTAGTTCGCTGCCCTCCCCAGGGCCGCTCACGTGCGTGCCTCGTGCCGCCCGCGGGACACGTGACCCGCCCCGACGGGACCCAGGAACGGGAACGTCCCCGGCAATGACCCCGCGGGACTCGCTGGGCAGCGGGGTGCGCCGTCCCGGCACCGTGGCAAGGGACTGGCCGAGGCAGCGTGGAGGTCACAGCAGCTTTATTGAGGTCCGCAGGGCCACCCCCCACCCCATCGCAGAGGTTCTCACCCCATTCCTCCGCCCCGTGGTGGTCAGCAGGCGGAATCTCCCATCCCTCTGGATGGGCTGCGAGGCAGTGGCAGCCCTGGTTTGGGCGTCCCAAGGGCTCTGGCAGAGCAGACTCTCAGCGGCACACAGGGAGTGGCTGCAGCCAGGGCTGGCACCAGGCAAGGAGAGCCCTCCGTTGGTGACTGCCCAGCCACATCCTCGCTGTCTTTGTGCTTGCCCCAGATCCTGGGCAGGTTCTCATGCTAGAGGTGTGCGAGCCCTTGACACAGTGGGACATGTGCTTCCTCCAACAGCACGGGGGCTGCAGGAGGGTCAAGGGGTACAAGGAGCCCGTGGAAGTCCAGGAGGCAGGGAGAGGGGAAGCCAACTGGTTAGTGGAAGACTAGGTGGGAAAATCATCTGAGCATGGCAGTCTGAGGCTCAGGGCCCAGCAGAGCCTTGGGGGGAGCCGAGGGACCAAGGGGGTTGGCCATGATGTAGGGACCTGCAGCTCAGTCCCGTCTGGCACTTTGCAACTCTCACTTCTTTCTGTTCATGATCTGGCTGGAAATCCAGTTCATCCCATCCTGGAGGGAAAAGAGATTGTGAGCACAGCCCCAAGAGCATGGCAGGCCCTTGGGTCCTCTCCCACATCTGCAGAGCCTGCAGGCCCCCATCTCTACCTGCACTCCTTCCCCAGACAGGGCCGAGCAGGCCTGGATCTGCCACTCCCGATCCCGGTAGGTGTGGAGGTTCAGCCCTTCTGCGATTTCATCTGCAGGGGCTGCAGTCACCAGGTCCTGCTTGTTGGCAAACACCAGCAGCGGGACCCCCATGAGGGACTCCTCCTCCGTGAGCTCTGCCAGCTCCTGCCAAGAGAGAACCTTCTCCCAGGGCTGCTGCCCTCACCAGAGCTGCCCAGGGTGGGCTGGATACCTCAGCTCCCAAACCACCTCATCCCCTCTCTCTTATTGTAGGTAAAGTAGCTGTGAGGTCTTGACGTTCCAAAGGAGAGACATGCCCCCCTGAAGCTCCATAGGCCCAGGGTTCTCTGAGGGCTGAAGTATTCCCAGCACTGAGAGCCCGGGTAAAGGGCAGCTGCAGGAGGCTGCTGCCAGTCCCGTGCTGTCTGGCACACCCACAAGGCCGTCTGGTGCCGGAACAGCCAAGGCTGGCACTCAAGTCTCACCTTCCCCTCTCAGAGCTTTATTCCCAGGGTTTGTAACTGAATTTGCTACTCCCTAACCTGGTGCTGGGGAGCTGGGACAAGGGCTGGCACCTGAGGGGTCACTCTCACCTGGGGCAGAGTCACCCTTGTGCCAGGTACCCCTCGGGCAGCACACCAGGCTTGGAGGGGAGCTGCTGGGCACGAATCTGCCATAGAGGGGATGCCTCTGCCTGCTGGGACTGATCTTGAGCCCTTCCCACAGAGCTCTGGGCACAGCATGGCCCCCACTGCAGCACTGCCCTACGGTTGAAAGCAGCCTCTCTGCCAGCTCCAGCCCTCAAAGAGCTGGTGCCAGACAGATCTCTGAGCGCCAGGACCCCACAGCCAACCCCACTGGATCCTTCATACCTGCCCTGTCTCCTCGAAACGCTTCTGGTCGGCACTGTCAATGACATAAATCTGCCATGGGGACAAAAGAGACAGTCAGGGGCTCCTTCTTGCCCGGCTGCACAGCCCTTCTGTGGGGCCCACACACCACTGCTGGTGGCCCCACACAGAGGGCACAACTCTCCATGCACAGGGCTGTGTGGGACTGCCCCACTCACCAGCAGGTCTGTGCTGCCCAGATACTTCTTCCAGTATGGGCGGATGGAGCGCTGCCCCCCGATATCCCAGACATTCAGCTTCAAACCATGCGAGTGGACACTCTTTATGTTGAAACCCTGAGCAGAGACACAAACTCCAGCATCACCCAAGGGACAGTTGGGACCTGCACTCCCTCCTCCCCCCCCACTGGCCGTGGGCCCCAGCAGCACCTACCTGAGTGGGGGTGATGGTGCTGACCTCCTCGGATGCCAGGCGCTTCAGCAGCGTCGTCTTCCCCGCGTTGTCCAGCCCCAGCAGGACAATGCGGAGCTCCTGCTCTGGTGAACCCTTCAGCTTCTGGATGACGGAGAGCAGCCCCTGGGGGGCACAGGGAGATGCTGGGGGAGTCCTGTGGGGTGCCGGGTGGCTGCAGAGCTCCCTTGTTTTGGAGGGGGAGAACTGGGTGCCCTGTTGGCTATGGGTACCCTGTGTCTGTGGCCTGAGCTCTGCTCCCAAGGTGTCCAGGCTTGGGGTGGCCCCATGGCAGATCCACAAAGCCTCATCATCCCCCTCCAGGTATGCTGTCCCTGCCCCAGCACCTCTGGCAGCTCCTGAGTGTGCTGGGGGAATGTCCTCAGGGGAGAGCCCTGCTCTGCCAGCCCGCCCAGCACTGCAACTGAGAGTTGGTACTGCTCACCCACCCTGGAGCAGGTGGGATGTCACCGGACCCCACTTACCTTCTGCACATCACCCATGGTCCAGGAGTCTCTGTGGCCCGCAGCACGCCTGGGGAGCTGCCGGGGGCCTGTCCCCGGGGCCCGCCGGCGGCTGCGTGACTGGCACACTCCCCATCCCCGGGGGAGGAAGAGGATTATGGGCTCCAGAATTAGCTGCTGTTCCTCCATTTACCCACAGCATTAAATAATGCCCTCAGCAAATCCCCCAGCCAGCTGTCACCCCGCCGTCACCTACCCCCGGGATAAACCAGGTCCCCCCGGGCTGGGGCACTGGGGCACAGGACATCCCTCTCCCCATGAGGCCAGGCTCCCACCCCAGGAGGATGCTGTGCCCAGGCACCACGGGTATGGCTGTGCCCTGGGGCACGGGGCTGACACAGCCTCCCACCAGCACCCACAAGCTGCCCCCTCAGAGGGTGGCAGGAGGAAATGCTGAGGCTGGAGCTGCCTGAGGCCACATCACCCACTGCTGCCCGAGGGAAACCACCAGGCCCTGGAGCAGGTCAAGGGCTGGGCTGTTGGCAGCTCGAGGTCGGGGATGGCGCAGGACAGGGGTCCAGAGGGACCTTCCCCTGCAGCCCACCTCAGCCCAGGTGGAGTGAAGGGCTTGTGCATTCTCCATTTGCATTAAATACATTAATTGAGCAATGTCTTTGATTCCTGCACACTGCAGTTTGGTCCTCAGATCAGGTTTCCTAGCAGAGAGGTTATCCTTGCGGTGAGGACCGTGAGTCACGCACTCTTGGAGAGACATTTTTATTTATAACTCCTGTTGCAAAGCCAAGCCAGACAACACAGCCACACTCCAACAAAGGAAGGGGAGCAGCAGAATCACCCCCCATTCCAGTGCCGCTCTATGCAGTGGGGGGGGATAGAGGGGAGCCTTAGGGGCTACCCTCCACTCCCCCCTGCCCGGAGACCTTGCCAGGGCTGTGGCTGCTCATGTCACTCCACTTTTGTTCCTGCTCACAGTGGGAATGCTTCATTTTTTCCTGCATAGATCTGCACCCAATTTAATGTTAGGGTTCTGCTTTTGATAGGTTAATCACCCACCTTATGTCCCAGTTATTAGCATTTCCCTGAGCGGGTTGCCATGGTGCTCTGCGGTTTATCCTGTGCCGTTAGTTACTGAGATTTCCTAACAAATATCCTAAAATATCCTCCGCTGGTTTGTGGTTGCTGATCAACATGGAACCCTGGCCTTAGGAGATGGGCAAAACTGCTTAGGCATCAGTTTGGTGACTCCAGGCTGCACGTCCACCGCTCCTCTCTGCCAGGTTCTGCTGGCACAGGCAAACACCAGTCCTGGGGCCACCCGCAAACCCCGTGTGAGCAGAGCAAGCAGCATAGGCTGGTGGCAGGGTGTGCTGGATATGTTGATGCCATCCTGCCTCTGAACCCCCCTTCCTTGGGGTGATGTGATGACCAGGAGGAGCTCTCCAGGCTTCAGGGAGGAGTGGTGATGGGGTGGTGACCCCAAGGCAGCACAGACCATGCTGCCATGGAGACTAGGATGGGGAAGGGAACAGGGATACAGATGGGGATGGAGTCACGAATGTGGGTGCAGATGGAGACAGGGACAGGGATGGGGACTGAGTGGGATGAGGATGAGGATGGGGATTGGGATGAGGATGGGAACAGGGAAGCGGATGTGGATGCAGATGGAGACAGGGATGCGGCGGCGCCGCGGCGCCTCCTGTCCCGGCGCTGGAGCCGGTGCCCACCGGGGCGGTGCCGGCGGAGCGGGGCGGGAGGGCGGCCCCGCTCCCCCCGCTGCGGTCTCGGTTCCCATGGCGACACTTCCTGTGGCAGCCGAAAGCGGTAGTGCCAGGAGCGCCGGGCCGGGCCGGGAGAGCAGCGACAGCCGCGCCGCCGGCCGGGGATGCTGCGGGGCCGCGGGCCGCGCCGGTAGCGCGCCGGGCCGAGCCAGGGATGCAGGGCAAGAGCAAACTCCTGGTGGTCCACAACGGGCGCATGGTGAGTGCCCGGGGCGCCGGTCTCCATCCCCCGGGGCTGCCCCGCCCGGCGGCGCGGTGCGGGGCTCGGTACCGGGCGGGCAGGGCGTCTCTGGGGCTAGGTATCGGCTGGAAAGAGGGTATGCCAGCCCTGGTCCCACCTCCCCAGCACGAGCAGGAAGAGGGATGTATGGGGATGGGGCCAGGAAACAAACAGGCAGAAGGGTGTGGGACTGGGTACTGGGCAGGCAGGGGCTGTATCGGGCTGGGTACCAGGCGGGCAGGGGGTGTGGAGTGGATAACGGGCAGGCAGAGGGGATATATGGGAGCAGGTAACCGGCAGGCAGGAGAATATGGAAAGCACAGTAGGCAGGCAAGGAATCTCGGTGTGGATACTGTGCAGACAGAGGGATGTATGGGGCCAGGGAACAGGCAGGCAGGAGGGTGTGGGACTGGGTAGCAGGCAGTGCAGGATGGGGATTGGGTATTCAAAGCAGGCAGAGATGTAGAGGGGTTTGGGGGCAGGCAGCAGTATGTGGGGCTGGGTAGCAGGCAGGGACATACAGGGCTGGGGTAATGAGCAGCAAGGGTTTATGAAGCTGGAACAGGGCTGTAAGTGGAGATGTGTGGCACTGGGGTAATGGATAAGCAGTGACCCATGGGGATCGGGCACAGGAGTCAGCAGTGCTGTGGTGTTTAGGGCTGGGTGGCACAGGCAGGACAGATCTATGTGAGTGTGGGCAGCAAGGATGGATGGGAAGAGCAAGGAGCTAGCAAGATAGGGGTGCATGGGGCTGGGATAAGGGGCATGGCAGTGGCATGTGGCGTGGGGTAGCAGGGAAAGGCAGGGGTGGGATAGTGCTCCTGGGGTGTGTGGGACTGGGATGGGAAGTCAGAGAGTATGCGGGATAGGCTGAGGTGTGTGGGGCTGGCAGGGTGGGGGGCACTGGGCAGGTCAAGGGCACCTACTTCAGTCAGGGCATCACTTCAGTGTGGCCCCAAGGAGGTGATGAAAGGCAGCACGTGCAGCGAGTGCTTGGCTGGGCTTTGGCTGCAGTGGCTCTGCCCATCTCCCTGCTTGTTGTGGGTCCTGGGGCACTCCATCTCTAGAGCTGGTATCTGGGGCAGCCCAGCAGGTACTGCAGGGCACCCTGTCCTGCTGTGTCCTGGGCTTGCAGCATCCAGTCCCTGGTTTTGGGCATCTGCCTTCCAGTAGCTCCAGGCTCCAAGGAAGGAGGGAGCAGGCAGTTTGCCTGCCTAGGGCTGTGGTTGTCCTTCCTTCCCTCCCCTCCTCCCCTCCTCTTCCTGTGCTTCTCTCCTCCCCGGTTGGTTGAGGTGGCAGGGTTACATCTGATACCATCTGCCCTTTCCCAATTGCTGGCCTGGCCCCAGGGCATGGGGAGGTGGTAGAAAAGCTGTGCACCCCTTGCAACCCCCTATCCTTACTCACTGCCTATGATTTGGGAGCCCTGTGTCCTGCCCCTGCCAGGATCCCATGTCCCTTGCTCCTGGTTTGGACTGGGCTTGCCCTGAAGCTGCTGCCTGCCTGGGCACCTCTCCACCAGGCTGGCAGACTCTCACCTCTCTTCTTTCCACCCCCCAGGGCCCAGCTGTGTCGGATGGAGGTAAGGCTGCTCTTACCCTGGAGCGGGAGGCCAACATCATCTTCAGGGGAGGGGGAAGCACACAGCCAGCCCGGTGCCAGGTCCTGTGGCAGCACAGGCTATGCCATGGGCGGGTGCATGGCCAGGCCTGCAATGCTGGGACTGTCCGTACCCCTCCATCCCTCCTGCATAGCCCTGTTTTGCCTGTCCATCCCTATGGCCGCTCAGCTGGCACCTTTGGGTGCTGAGGGCTGAGGGGCTTCCAGGGCAAGCAGAACTGGGTACCAGGCATCCCTGGGTTTCCTAAGGGAGTCTGTCTGTCTGTCTGTCTCACTGTGAACGGAGTATCTCAGATGGTCCATTTGAGATGGCCATCTCGGCCCCAGTTACCCGTGCTTTAGACAGGAGAAGGGTGGGGAGCCTGGCAAAGCAGCAGCCTGACACACCTCCATTTCTGTCAGCTTTGCCTGGAGAGCACTGCTTCCATTGCAAATCGTTCTGTTGCAAATGACCCCTTGCTTCCAGTTGCTCACCAGTCCAACCAGTTCAAAAGCCGGGGTTGCCCCTGGGAACTTCCATCTTTTTGAATACATGGTCACCCTGGGTTTCCCCTAGGGAGGGTTTCCTTAGGATTAGGAGCTGAGGGCAACACTTTCTGTGCCCTCCACTTGCTGGATTTGTCCCTCGTCATGGACAGAGGAATAGAGGAGGTGAGTTCAGGCACCTCTGTCCATCTTCCAAGTTCCCTCTGTGCCGTTGTGCTCTTCATGTCCCTTCCACCCTGGTCTCCCTCCTGGGTGGGTGCCTTCCCCTGGGAGATGAGTCACAGGTGGAGTCACGGTGACACCCCACCGGGGGAGGGGGGGGAGGACTGCCAGCACTGGCAGGGAGAGCTGTTGTGCCTGGAGGTGCCAGCTGTGGTATCATGGTGCTCAATCCTCCAAGGATGCTACTGTGATGCTCTTCATGTTCCCTTCCTGAGGGCTAACCAGCTCCGATCGGGATGGGGCAGATGAACTTGCTGCAGACACAGAAGGCTGCTGGTGCTGGGGAGTGACACTGGGGGACAGGGAGACAGCCAGGACTGACCCTTTTTCTCTCTCAGAGTTAAATGCCTCCAGGGCCCGTGGCAGCAACCACAGTGTGAACAGCCTGCCAGCACCAGCCACCTGTGGCTCCACACAGGGGTCTGTGGTCAGCTGGGCTGAATCCTTCGAGACGCTGCTGCAGGACCATGTGGCTGTCACCTACTTCACTGTGAGTGCCACAGCCCAGGACTTGGTCCCCACTCCCATCCACTGTTGGCCACCAACTGTCCCACAGCCACAGTGCCACCAGGCCAGCAGCTCTCTCTGCCCCACAGGAGTTCCTCAAGAAGGAGTTCAGCGCTGAAAACGTCTACTTCTGGCAGGCATGTGAGCGCTTCCAGCAGATCCCAGCCAGTGACACGCAGAAGGTACAGTCTCTGTGCAGTCTGGGTCACCCAGCTGCTGGGAGGGACCTGGGCAGAGCTGTCCAGCCTGTCCTGGGGGGCTAAGCAGGTTGGGGGCTCTTGCAGGAGGAATAAGCAGATGGATTTGGTGTACATCAGAAAAGCTATAGCTGGGATACCTGCCCCATGGAGCAGGATGTGCTTCCCCAGCCCAGGGTGGCCAGAGGGTGGCCAGTGCTGCTGGAGGGACAGAAGAGATGAAGGGCAGAGCTGGATTGGGGATCATGGGAACAGAGCCAGGCAACCACGGGGGATGGTTCCTCCCTCAGGTTGTACCTCTGCAGAGGGACTGGCGTGTTGTGCCAAGAGCTTGGCCCTGAAGTCCAAGTACTGAGCTGGTCCCAGGAGAAAGTTGATTCCTGAGGGCTCAGGTGACTGCAGGGGTGAGCCAAGGGTGGCAGTAAGGAGGGGATTCTTGGTCTCAGCCTGACCCCCCTGTTCCCCCAGCTGGCCCAGGAGGCACGGCGGATCTACGATGAGTTCCTCTCCAGCCACTCAGTCAGTCCTGTGAACATTGACAAACAGGCCTGGATTGGGGAGGACATGCTGGCCACCCCCTCCCCAGACATGTTTCGCATCCAGCAGCTCCAGGTATGGGCAGCACCTGTGCTCCACCTGCAGGACTGGGGAGGGCTCCGGGACCATCCCACATATCACCCAGCATCACTGCTTTCACCATGGAGCCGTGCCACAGGGCAGTGGCCAGAGCAAGGTGTAGGCAGGCAGGGGTCTTAGGCACATGCATCCTCCCTTTCCAGATCTTTAACCTGATGAAGTTTGACAGCTACACACGCTTTGTGAAATCCCCGCTCTACCAGGCCTGCCTGCGGGCAGAGAGCCAGGGTCAGCCCCTGCCTGACCTGCGGCCCCACTCCCGCAGCAGCAGCCCCCCTCCTGAGCTCAGCAAGGTGAGTGGGGGAGAATGGGGAAGGAGGACATGTCCCTTCAATGCTGGGTCTCTTCCCTGCTGCTCAGACCAAACCCAGCCCCAGGCTGAGGACAAGACAAGCAGTCAGGGGACCAGGGAAAGGCAAGGGAAACCTTGGATGTCCTCATGCTGAGATACTGCTCAATTCACCCCAGAAGTCGAAGCTGAAGCCGGGCAAGTCCCTGCCACTGGGTGTGGAGACAGCGGGCAGTGGTGCCAACCACAGCCCCCGACGGTCCTTCAGGAGGGCAGAGCGGCGGGAGCCCTCCTGGGCAGGTAGGTGCTGTGCTGAGCAGGACAGAGGGGCCACACCACCCCTGAAGGTTTCCCACCACTGTCCCTCTGTCTGTCCTAGAGGGGGGAGAAGGCGGCAGGAGTACCACGGTTTGGCGGGAATCCCAGGGCTCACTCAACTCCTCAGCCAGCCTGGACCTGGGCTTCCTCTCCTCGGCCAGCACAGCCACCAGCCCCTGGACAGAGGTGAGTTGTCACCGCACCAACCCCATGGTATTACAGTGCCACTGGTCGGGCTCATCCTGTCACATCCCTCACCCAGGGCCAACGGAAGAGCCTGGGGGGCAGCGAGGCAGAGCTGCCAGCCAAGCCCATGAAGTACTGCTGTGTGTACCTGCCCGATGGCACAGCCTCGCTGGCCTCTGTCCGGCCTGGCCACTCCATCCGCGACATGCTGGCAGGGATATGTGAGAAGCGTGGCTTCAGCCTCCCTGACATCAAGGTCTACCTGGTGGGGAACGAGCAGGTAAGGCAGGCAGCGGGGAGTAGGATCCCTGCCAGGCAGACCATCCCCATGCTGGGACCATGTGCCGCTCTACTGGCTCTCTCTTGATGGTTTGGCTCTTGCAGAAAGCACTGGTGCTGGATCAGGAGTGCTCCGTGTTGGCAGACCAGGAGGTGAAGCTGGAGAACAGGATAAGCTTTGAGTGAGTGAGAGTTTCCGTGCTGATGCTCTTGCCCACATGGGTCCAGTCCACATCATGTGTGGCCACCTACGGTGCCCCACACCCAGTCCCCCATGCAGTCCTGAATGCCCTGGCTCTGCCCCTGCCTGTCACAGCCTTTTCTCCCCCTCTTTAGCCTGGAAATCTCCTCCCTCAGTAAGACCATCCGCATCACAGCGAAGTCAACCAAGCGCATCCGGGAAGCGCTGCAGCCCGTGCTGGGGAAGTACGGTGTGAGGATGGAGCAGGCGCTGCTGCGGCGGGTGAGGCTCAGGGGACATGGCCCCAGCCCCTTTGATGGGGGCAGTCACGGGTCTGGGGCTTGGGACAAGGGCTTCTGCCTGTGACTAGGTGGTGGGGAGCAGCAGTCTGTGCTGGGGGCAGCCTGTGGGCTCATAGAATCCCCATTTTTGGGACAGGCCATGACATCCCACTGTGGGCTGGGAGGGACCGGTGGTGTGGTGCCCCGTGAGCCAGCGGGCTCTGGCCGGGGAGCTCGCAGGTCTTCAGCCTGGCTGCCTTTGCCGTGCCACAGTGAGTGTGATGTGGCTGGCTGTTCCATTTGCAGCAAGGCGAGCTGGCTGCCCTGGACCTGGAGAAGCTGGTCAGCACAGTGTCTGCTCAGAAACTCGTCCTGGAAACGCCAGCAGGTAAAATGTCCTCCCTCCCAATCTATGTCACCTCAAGCCATGCCACCCTGCAGAGTGCTCACAGGGCTAGGCTGCTTTCTGGTGGCCATGGCTCCTGCTACCTGGGATGGGGTCCATCCTGTCACTGGCCAGGCCAGGATCAGGATGCTGGGATGGGGCACTGAGCATCACTTCCCTTGCAGACGTGCGAGTGATGGAGAGCGCAGAGGCTGCAGCTGCCCCTTCTCCGCTCCGAAGTGAGGTGAGCTTAAGATCTCACCAACCCTGGTCCAGAGATGCCCACACAGCTGCTGCTGTGGTCCGTGGGGAAGGTGGGCCCTGGCACATGCTGCGGGGCTGGGCAGCAGGTGCTGAGGTGGGAGCCAGGCTGTGGGAAGGCAATTGGAATGTGAGATGGGGGGAGTGCCACCTCCTTGCCCCATGGCTGAGACCTGGGCTGCTCATGGCAGGAGGGAAGCCCAACAGGAGCAGAGCCCGACACACGGTGGGAGATGCCCTCCTCCTTCTCCCGGCCACGGTCTTCAGCCACCATGAACCTCAACCGCCGCACGTATGACCTGGAAGGTGAGTCCTGGCATGTCTGAAACCTGAGGGGCTGGGGCAAAACACAGGGTGAGGGATGCAGGGCTCATGGTGTGCTGGGGATGGGTGCAGGGTCCCATGGGTGCTGGCATGGAGCAGGGAAAAGGTGCAGGTGCTGTGCCTGGGACATGTTCAGGGTCATATCAGGTGGAGAGGGCAGCCGAGGTGTTAGGACAAACCCCCAGTGCTGGGCTCAGGTGCATGACCTGCATTTCCTCAGGGCTGGTGGAGCTACTGAACCGTGCCCAGAGCTGCCGGGCCAACGACCAGCGTGGGCTGCTCTCCAAGGAGGACCTGGTCCTGCCTGACTTCCTCCAGCTGCCCGTGCAGGATGACAGTGCCTGTGAAGGGTCAAATCAACCCTGTGCTGCCCACCCAGGCTCTGAGGGAAGCAGCCATCCCCAGCCTGCAGAGCCTGCACTGGCTCAGCCTTCATTCGACCACAAGTTCTGACGAGTCCTGCTGCACATCCCCACCTGATGTGTAGTACCCCCAGGCCATGCCAGGGTTCAACATGGGGTCTGACCGGCCCCTGCCCTGCACCGCCGACACTGCCTGGACCACAGATTCATCCACGTCCTGTCCCAAACTGTCGTGTCGTGTCGCTGTGAGTGGCTGAGCAGCTGCCATGCCCCTCCGTGGGGTCGCATCCTGGTGCACGTCAAGGGAGTCCTGTACATAGTTTGAACCCCTGTTGCAAAGCACTTTGCAACATCTTGTGCATGCCTGGCACTATCCTGCCCAGTGCCTCTGCCTGTGGCAGAGCTGCCTACCCAGCACATCCTGCCTGTGCCGGGCTGCCACAGCCCCACTCACCATTTGGGTGGGGAAAGCACCCTTCCAGCTTAAGGGTGTGTAGGATAGAGAAGGTGAGTGGGGTTTCAAGGCAGGCTCCAGCCCTGAACTCTGGTTCAGAAGCAGGCAGGGTCAGGATGACATATGCCTGGAGCTGAGAGTCAGATCCAGTCCCTGGCCCTGTGGAAACAGGGCTGTCCCTTTCATGCATGGGTCCACCCTTCTGGGGGAGGGTGAGCATGGCCCTGCCAGCCTGTGCCCTGGGCAGGTCGATACTGTCTGCATTGCCTGAGTGTGGCCTGATCCTGCCACAGTAGCTCTGCTGTGGAGGAGGGCACATGGTTCCTGCCCTGGGCAGACAGAGGCAGAGCCAGAAGGTTGTGCCAAAAAAGCCTCGCTCCTCCCCGCCAGAGACCCTATGTGGGTGGCTGCTGAAGCAACCTACAGGAGCAAATCCCCATAGACCCCCTGCCCCATCCCAGCTGGGACTGAGGGTGCTCAGCCTCAGGGACAGGTCTGCCTGGTGTCTGAGGAATGCAGCACCCCTGGGTGCTGAGCACCTCAGTCTGGTGTGCAGGTGACCAGCATGTGCCCATCCTGTCATTCTTGCCAACAGATGTGCTGGGCTGTAGCCTTGAGCCCGGCTCTGCCAGTCCTGCAGGTCCCCATGCCCAGCAGCCTGGTGTCCCCAGTGATCTCAGACACAGTCTGCAATAGAGACAACCCCCCAACAGCAGCCAGGAGATCCCCCCAGCATCTGTGTGTGCCAGGGCCCTTCCTGGCTGTGCCTTCGGTAACCGCTCCATCACCACTGTCTGGCCAGAGGCAGAGGGGTGGTCCAGGGCTCCCAGGCTTGCCCAGGGATGGGGGCAAGGCCACCCAGCCCCATGGTGCCACAGCCAGCTGTGGTCCCACAGCCCCAGTCAGAGCCCCCCTGTGTCTCCGTGGTGCTGCTTAGTTCTGTCTGTGGCGTGAAACCGGGGGAAATAAAGAGCATTGCCTGGATGTGCGTTCCTTTCCTTCCTCTGTGGCTAAGGCCAGATGATGCTTTTCCCAGCAGCACTGTCCCTCTAACCTTCCTGTACCCCACAGAACCCTCCTGGGACCAGGGCAGAGCTTGGGCCAGCCCTCAACTTCAGTGCCACCTAGATTGGCAGCAAGGGGCAGTGCCAGGAGCTTGTTTTCCCAGCACTGCTGACGGAGTAGGGGAAGCTGTAGGGCCGGCACGACCAAGGACTTCAGCCTCAACCCTGTCAATAAGTGACAGCCAGAGCTGCCAGGGCCTCACCAGGTTAATGATTGTGGGGGCAGCTGGCCAAGAGCCCCCGGGCATGGGGCAAGTGCGGACACCAGCCTTCTGCCCACTGGCTGCACCCCCTGAGCAGAAGGGTCCCCAGGCCCTGAAGAGGCAGGACATGTCCCCTGCTGTGGCTCTTCCTGGGCATTCAGCTCTATCAGCCTGTGACTCAGTGGAGGAGGTTCAGTGATGCTCCAGGAATGGCAGGAATGTCCCCAGCCTGTCCCTGAGTGCCCTGGAGTACTCAAGGAATCTTCCCTTGCTGCTTTCATACAATTGCACCTGGCTCATCCATGGCAATGGGTCCTGGGAGTGCCTGATCCTGGGGAAATGGGATGTGGCAGCCATGCAGTCTCTCTGTGCCTACTGCCACAGGCACTGGGGCTGGAGGGGCATTTGTCCCCTGTCTCTCCTGCAGACAGATGTGGACATGAGCCAGCTGGGTGTTCTGTGGGTGGATGGAAACTTGGCTGGAGGTGCATAAGCAGCAGGTAATCATAAACAGCGTCGAGGAGGTGGTGAAGGCAGTGGTGGTGTCGCTCCGCTCCTGCCCACCCTGGCATCAGACATGCCAGGAAGATGCTCTGCCCTCGCAGTGCTGCCGGGCTGAGCCAGGCTGCGTGCCACCATCACACCAGTGACAGGACACGGATCGTTCTGGTGTTGACGTCACACACCACCAGTGCCCTGGGGGTGAGGACGTCCTGCGCTGGGCTGATGCTCAGATGGCTCTGAGGATGGTGGATGCATGCTGGGCTCAACTCTGGTTTGGGATGCCCTGGCAGCACTAGCACCAAGCCCTTCTCCTCCTCCTGCTCTCATGCAGCGGATGAAGCACCTGGCACCAAAAGACGGAGAGCTGAGGGTGCTCCGGCATCACCCCTCGGGCACTGGGCTCCAGCACTGCCCCAGGTTTGCTCCTCACTGCAGCAGCTGCCACTCGCCCAGGCTTCGGGCAGGCGAGGCAAGAAGTGCCGGGTACCCCAGGGCCGCGTGCCCCATCCCGCTCCAGGGCCGCAGCAGACGTGGGATGCGGACGGGTTACCCATTAACTACAGGAATTTCTGGGGAGGAGGTGAGCATCGAGCGGAGGCGAGGGGCAACACGGGGCTCCTTAGACTTTGCTCTTGGCGTGTGTATAAAGGGCCGTGGTGCCCCACAGGCCACTTCGCTGGAGGGACGCGTGGATGCGGCATGTGGACACGGCTCTGCCCTGAGTGCCCAACCAGCCTCAGGTGAGCTGGGCCCTGGGCAGGAGGAGTCCCCTTCCCGTGTCCCCAGGGAGATCGCTGGGGTGGTACAGCAGTGGCTGGTGGCCCAAGGGACCATTGAGTGATGGAATGGTGCTCCTCAGTGGTGCCAGTACTTCAGGGATTCGGGGGGATGTGGCAGTCAGTGTAGCACAGCCATGGTGACGCGCGGCCACTTCTGTTCAGCCTCAACAGGAGTGATGCTGCCCTACCGGAGGGAGAGCCCGGTCCTGCCCCACTGCCCAGTGCGGGGAGGAAGGGTGGTTCATGGGCCCCAGTTTGCCTACTGCCCCAGCCCCCAAGGTAGGTGCCCCCAGCCTTCCTCCTCCTCTTCCTCACCTCACCAGGCTCAGCTCTGCTTCTGGCCAGATCCTGGCCCAGGCAGTGCTGCAGGGGGGTCACCACAAGGACGGGGCTGTAACGTGGGTGACCCCTCTTCCCAGCTCTGCATCGACTGCCGGGTGCCCACACCTGCCCCTTCACCGTTGGTCCTGTGCCCTGCCCTGACCATGGCTTCCCCTGCCCCGGCTCCCCGGGGCGCCTGCGCGAGGGCAGGGAGCGCTACGAGCTGGATGTGCTGCCCTGGCAGGGGCCCCGGCTGGGCTTGGACGAGCTGCAGAAGCCAGGTGAGACCCTGTGAGTGGTGGGCATAGAGCGCCTCGGTTGGGGAACACTCCAGAGACCTGCTGGAGACACCCAGGGGAGCTTGGAGTACCAGGAGTGTGGGGTGCCAGGATGGGGAGAGGAGTGTGGGGCAACGCTCAGCTCTCTGGGGTGACGTAGGAAGAGCTGAGGGACAATGGAAGCAATTGGCACAAGGCACTCCAGGGTGAGAGGAGATGGAGGGGACCCAGGGAGTGGTGGCATAGCTGGGGATGAGCCCTGTGCTGCCGGGGCCAGGAGGATGGTGTAGGGCTGTGGGAGCCCAGGGAGCCAGGGTCATGCCACAGCAGGCATTTAACATTCTCTCTTGTCTTCCACAGAGCTCGGGTGCTGGGCCAGGGTCCAGTCCATCTGTGTCTCCCTTCTCAAGGTGCCCCTGATGTTTGGCTTCTTGTACCTCTTTGTGTGCTCCCTGGACGTGCTCAGCTCTGCCTTCCAGTTGGCTGGAGGTAGTAGGGTGGCAGGGACTCCTTGGAGTCTGGTGGCACCTGCAGTGCCAGCAGACTGCTGCTCACATTCTTCTGCAGGCAAGGTGGCAGGGGACATCTTCAAGGACAACGCCATCCTCTCCAACCCGGTGGCTGGGCTGGTGGTGGGCATCCTGGTAACTGTGCTGGTGCAGAGCTCTTCCACCTCCACCTCCATCATTGTCAGCATGGTCTCCTCAGGGTGTGAGTGTGCCATGAGGTTCCTGGGGACCTGAGGCTGGGGGACAGGGTGGCTGCATGGGGTAATCTTGAGCAGAGCCATGCGAGGCACAGGGTCTCTCTGTCCCCAGTGCTGGAGGTGCGCTCTGCCATCCCCATCATCATGGGCTCCAACATCGGCACCTCCGTCACCAACACCATCGTGGCCCTCATGCAGGCCGGTGACCGCAGTGAGTTCAAACGGTGAGGGCTGCTTGGGTCAGAGGACACTTGGGGGGCTGGGGGCTGCTCCCCACAGCCATCCCATGCCAATGGGCTCCTCCACTCTGACAGAGCCTTTGCCGGTGCCACGGTGCACGACTGCTTCAACTGGTTGTCAGTGCTGGTCCTGCTGCCACTGGAGGTGGTGAGTGGGTACCTGCACCATGTCACCCGCCTGGTTGTGGCCACCTTCAACATCCGCAGCGGGAAGGATGCCCCTGACCTGCTGAAGATCATCACAGAGCCGTTCACCAAGCTCATCATCCAGGTCTCCTCAGCTGTTGTGTTCAGCAGCGTGGTGTCCCCAGGCTGGTAGTGGTCCCTCAACATTGGTGTCCCTTTGGCAGTGGTTGTATCCAAGTGTCCCCAGGCTGGCAGTGGTGTCCCAATCCCAGTGAAGATGTCCTCAAGCTCTGAGTGCTGTTAGCCCCCAGGGGCCCTCACCAAACCAATGTCTATTGTTGCAGCTGGACAAGTCAGTGATCACTGGCATTGCAACAGGGGATGAGAGCCTGCGCAACCGGAGCCTCATCCGCGTCTGGTGTGGCCCTACATCCCCACAGGTGAGGGGTCTGTGGCCCTGCTGGGGCCACCAAACAATCCCATGGAGGAGAGGTGGGGAGGGGCTGGCTGAGGACACTGTGGAGCCAGCTGCAGCACACCCTCTCCCTGCAGATGGCTGCTGTGGGGCTTGGGCCCCCCCTGAACTGCACAGCCCCTGGGCACTGCAGCACTAAAGGCATCGAGATCCTCCACAATGTCACCAGGCAGAAGTGTGAGTGGGTGCGGGAAGCTTGGGCAGGGCTGGGGCACAGGACATGGGGCTGGGGAGATGCAGGCAGGGCTAGGGGGCTGTACGTGGGATGGAGCAGTGCTGGATCCATGGTGTGGGGCAGGGCTAGGAGATGTTGGGGCTGGGGTCCAGGTGTGGGGCTGTCTGTGGGGGCAGGTTTGTGAGCGGGGCCGGGCCAGCCCCAGCCCCTCGCCCAGCCATGCTGTGGGGCAGGCGAGCATCTCTTCACTGACACACCACTGCCCGACCTGGCCGTGGGGCTGGTGCTGCTGGCTGGGTCTCTCGTCGTGCTCTGCACCTGCCTCATCCTCCTCGTGAAACTCCTCAACTCCCTGCTCAAGGGGCAGGTGGCCAAAGCCATCCAGAAGGTCATCAACACTGGTGAGTAGGACAGGGACCATCTGCCACATGGCCACCCATCCCCATTCCCACCTGCCATCCTCAGACCTATCCCTGGTTGTCCCTGCCCTCTGTCCCTGCCTGTCCCACATGTCCCCTGCCTGTCCCTGATCCCCACTCTGCTTATGGCTGTCATGGCCTCCGGGTGTCCCCTTCCTCTTTCCCCGGCCACTGGGCTGGCCCCATACCCAAGCCTGACCCCATACCTAGAGCGTGGCCTCACAGCCTCTCCCAGCACCATGTAGGAGCTCTGGGTTGCTCCTAACTGATGTGTCCATGCCCATGTTTGTGTCCACACTTGTGCCCATGGCCATGCCTGGCAGACCTCCCACACCCTCTCAGCTGGCTCACTGGGTACTTCGCCATGGTGGTGGGTGCTGGGATGACCTTCGTGGTGCAAAGCAGCTCTGTCTTCACATCAGCCATCACACCCCTGATTGGTGAGTCCCAGCCATGCTTGGTCCCCTGCCAAGTGCTGGTCCCTGCTGTGATGGCCTAGGGGTGCTATGGCACTCACAGGGATGGGAGGAGCTGTGCCTCCTTTAGAGAATGTGGGGATGGCTCTGGCAAGGAACAATGGGGCGGGATGGGGTGCCTCTCCCACAGGTCTGGGAGTGATCAGCATTGAGCGCGCCTACCCGCTGACCCTGGGCTCCAACATTGGCACCACCACCACCGCCATCCTGGCCGCCCTGGCCAGCCCAGGGGACAAGCTGGCCAGCTCCTTCCAGGTGTGTGCAGCCTGGGGCCACAGCTGCTCTGGCTGAGGGCACTGGGCAGGCCAGGGGCTGGGGGAAGCCCACGTGCCTAGCCCAACCAGGATGCTATTCCTACAGATTGCTCTCTGCCACTTCTTCTTCAACATCTCTGGCATCCTGCTGTGGTACCCACTGCCCTTCACCCGCCTGCCCATCCGCATGGCCAAGGCGCTGGGCGAGCGCACGGCCAAGTACCGCTGGTTCGCCGTGCTATACCTCATCATCTGCTTCCTCCTGCTGCCCTCCCTCGTCTTCGGCATCTCCATGGCGGGCTGGCGGGCTCTGGTGGGGGTGGGCGCACCCTTCCTCGGCCTCCTCTTCTTCGTGGGGCTGGTGAATGCACTGCAGGCGCACAGCCCTGGCCGCTTGCCCAAATGGCTGCAGACCTGGGACTTCCTCCCCGCCTGGATGCACTCGCTGCAGCCCCTCGACCGGGTCATCACCCAGGCCACCCTCTGCTGCACCGACCGCTGCCGCAGCCCGGAGGGCTGGGAGGAGCATGAGGGCCCTCCCCGGGACAAGGCCAGGCTGGGGCTGGACAACCCCGTGCTTTCCTACCCCGAGGAGATGCCCAGCCCCACCATCCGGGTGGGCTCGCCTTGCCCGCTCCCACATGGTGCTACCCGGCTCTAGCTGGTACCACACACCTGGGCTGCTGCTCCCGTGGCCGCTGGTTTCTGTCATCCCTGCTCAGCTGGTGTTCAATAAAGGCTGAGCACCCGTGCCCCAGGGTGTGTCTCTGGCTCGTGCATCTGCAAACCCTGTGGAGCCACAGCTGCAGCCACAGGTGACAGACACCCATCATCCTCCCCCTTTTCAATGCACTATCACTGCTCAGCCTGGCCCCAGACAAGTGCTGGTGCTGGGGATATGCCAAACATGTTGCTGGTGCTGTGGGGCACATGCTGAGGATGCCACAGCTAAACCCTGCACTCTGCAGAGAGCTGCACCGAGGTGTGTCATGGGCAGCTTCTTCCACTGATCTCATCTCCAGAGGGCTGAGTTGGCAGGGTCCATGGTGGCCCACTGTGTGCCACAGCAGCATGTCACTGAGCGAGGCACAGCAAGGGGCAGCCAACAAGGTGCTGGGGTGCTGCTGGTCTAGGGATCAGCAGGATGTCAACCCAGCATAGCCAGGCAGTGCCCCTGGCCCACCAGGCACCCTGGCACCCATGGCAGGAGCCCTCCTGCCACGGTGACCCTGGAGGGAGCCCTTTAATTTTTGGCAATAACAACTTCTCCCACTGCCCACAGATGTTTGGGCTCCTGCCAGTGATATCAGCCCATGCTTTCCTCCCTCCCTCCCTCCGTCCCTCCTTCCCGCCCGCCCTCCTCCCATACTGGGACTAGCAGAGCCAGCAGCACTGCCGTGGGAGCCTCCCTGTGTTCCCGGCACTGCAGCCATCCCACATGCCCAGCCGGGCGACCACTGGGCCAGAACAACCTCTGCCTTGCCACCGGACAGGGTCGGTGCAGGAGCTGTGGCAGCCGGGACACTCCCCTGGGGACACAGCAATGCTGGGGCTGCGCCCACATCCGCCGTGGGGCCGGTGAGTGGGCTGGGGGGACACCCCATGAGGCTTTGTCTGCCTGAAGGGTCAGGCCAGCATGGAGCCAGCCAGCACCCTTTCCAACACCTCCAGTAACGGCAGTGGCACCAGCAGCAGCGCCAGCAGTGCCCCACATTCGCCTGCAGCCACAGGGCTCATCCTGCTGGCCGCCCTGGCCGTCCTCTTGGCCACGTTGGTGGGCAATGCGCTGGTGGTGGTGGCCATCTCCACCAGCCGGGCTCTGCGGGCTCCACAGAACCTCTTCCTAGTGTCCCTGGCTTTGGCAGACATCCTGGTGGCTGTCCTCGTCCTGCCCTTCTCGCTGGCCAATGAGGTGATGGGCTACTGGTACTTTGGCGGGCTGTGGTGCAGCCTGTACCTGGCGCTGGACGTGCTGCTCTGCACCGCATCCATCGGGCACCTCTGCGCCATCAGCCTCGACCGCTACTGGGCCGTCACGCGGGCGGCGCGGCTCAACCTGCGCCGCAGCCCGCGGCGGGTGAAGGGGATGATCGGGGCAGTCTGGGCATCGGCGGCCCTGGTGGCCCTACCACCGCTCCTGCGGCCGCGGCCAGGGGGCCGGGAGTGCCAGCTGAGCCAGGAGACCTGGTATGTCCTGGCCTCCTGCACCGCCTCCTTCTTCGTCCCCTGCCTCGTCATGGTTGCCGTCTATTGCCGCATCTACCGCCTGACTGCCCAGCGCACGGCCACCCTCCTCGCCACCCGCTCCCCGTGCCCTGCCAGCAATGGAAAGGTGTCAGGAAAGGTGTCAGGTGTTAGGGTGCCAGGATGGCGGTGCCGGAGCCAGAACCAGAGTGTGTTGCTCTGCCGGCGGCGGCTGGTGCGGGCGCGGGAGCGGCGCTTCACCATCGTGCTGGCCGTGGTGATGGGGGCCTTCGTGCTGTGTTGGTTCCCCTTCTTCTTCACCTACAGCCTGGGGGCTGTCTGTGGGGAGGGCTGCCATGTCTCCAAGCCCCTCTTCAACTTCTTCTTCTGGATCGGCTACTGCAACAGCAGCCTCAACCCCCTCATCTACACCCTCTTCAACCGGGACTTCCGTGCCGCCTTCCGCCGGCTCCTCACCATCACACGCCAGCCCCGCACCTGAGGACCTGCTGGGACACTGGAGACGTGGCCCCAGCCTCACTAACCGTTGGCAGCACCCGGCTTCAGCACAAACTCTGGGCAGTAGTGCCAGCGTGCAGGTTGAGGTGGTTCTGGAGATGCAGAATTGAATAAAACGAGACCAAAGCCTATGCCCAGGGCTAGTGTCTGCCTGTTGGGAGCCCAGCAAACGGCACCCATTGTCACCCGGGTCACCCCACCTGTACCCCTGGCAGCACTGGTGGTGACAACTCGCTATGGCAGCTCTGGTGAGTACCAGCCCTCCCCACTGCCAGGCATGTCCCCCAGCATCCTCTTGAGCAGGGGATGGGCCCCACAGCTGCTGCAGGGGGATAAAACTCTCCATGTGGCAGCATGACCAGCACTGAGCTGAACTGGCCGTGCCAACACAGCAGCCCAGTCCGAGCCCTGTGCCTCTCTGCCAAGGCTGTGCCCCCTGGGGACATTCCAGCTGTGCCATGTAATGGGGGCTCTGTGGGGGCACACACGTACCCATGGTGGGGTACAAGGGGTGTGGGTCTGGAGTGGGACACCACACATCCTACTCAGCAGCTTCACTGGGATCTTGCTGCAGAAGAGAAAGGAGGAATGATATCTCAGTGCCGGAAAGGCCAACCTCTCTTGGGAGAGTGTGGGAGATGGGATCACATGGGAACAGGCTCCGGCACAGCCTGACGTGCAAGAGGCCATGAAGGCAGCTGTGGGGCAAAGACCCAGGGACAACTACACTCCCCCAGGGGCAAAAGCCACCCCACACCCGCCTTGCCTGACTCCTTGCTTCACTCTGCACAGACACCCAGGGGTCAGGGGCTGTTCCACTTCTTCAGCTTTGCTGCTCAAAATAGAAAATCTCAAAACATTGGACTTGAACTCAGCTAAAAACAGCCGCTGGCGCCTGGGAGCTGGAGCCAAAGGAACACTGGCCCCCACCAGCCCCTGCTGGCCCCCGCTGGGGTGAGCATAGCTTTGCTGTGGAACCTATGGGGGCTGAGAGGGATGGAGGTCCTGCGTGCAGCGACAATCCCTGAGCCATTCCCTATGCCTGCTGGCCCCATGTGTGGAGGCTCATGGTGTGAGCTTTGGAGCCAGCAGAGGTTCCCAGTGGAATCGGGCTGGAATGGAGCCCGGCGCTGACCCCCAGAGGCAGCTGGAGCTGAACTGGTACTGCCTGCGGAAGGAGCTGCCCTATCGCTGCCGCCCGGCTTCCCCTCCCGTGGCTGCCTTTTCACAATTAAACAGCACTTTGCTTCTAAAAATACCCAGGAGACGAGGGTGACTGGTGGGGACCTGGCCAGCCTGGCACTCAGAGGGGCACCAGCCCCGTGGACAGCACCCCGGGCCCTCACAGTGCCCTGGTCATGCACCCTGCACAGGATACCAGGCACTATCCCTCCTCCTGGGCATGAGCACACGGCTCTGGGATGCTGCAGGGCAGGAGAGGCCAGGGACCAGCTGGAGTGGGGGCACTCAGGCACCTCCCTGCTTGGGCAAGGCCTTGCCTGCACATTAGGGCAACATGCAAGCCACTGAAGGGAGCTTCAGGTTGATGTGCAGAACATCAAATCCTGAGAGCTGGATGGGGTGTGGGAGCACCTGGTGTCCCTCTTACCCTCCAGGTGGTACTTGGAGTGTTCAGTAACAGCTCCCTCACTAAGCATCCCCTGCTGTATCCTCATTCAGCACATCAACCCCTCTGCAGAGGGTTGAGCAGATAGCTCTGTCTCTCTGCAGCAGATATTTCCATTCAAGCTTGTAAAGTCTGTTTCATCTGCCACAGCATGACGAGCTGTGCTCGTGAGCCGTCGTGACCCCAGTACCACCACAAAAGCAGCTCCCCTCCAAGTCCTGATTGCTGGTGCCCAACTGCAGCACCTGTGCCTGGAATTCCATCCTGCGTTTTCAGGCTGTTTCTTCAATTTCCAAAGATTTTTTCAAATTACTCCCCAGACAAGCTTGGGTTCAGAGCCCTCTTCAGCCATGTCCCTTCCACAGACATAAAAAGCAGAGTGCCAGTTCCACTGCCTGGGCTGCTGCTCGCTCTGTTGGGGACATCAGGATCCCCTGGACGCTGCTGCTGCTCTGGCAGTGCCCTTTGGCCCATGACTCCTGTTGGTGGCGGTGCTGCAAAACATCATCTGGGAGGAAACAGAAAATAGCAACCCAAGGGTTAATCGTGGAAAGGGATGGAAACAAAGTCATTCCTTTTGAAGTTCAAAATAAGCATGTGCCACTTTGAGAGGAAAGCAGCTCTAAAAGAGGAAAGCTCACAGCATGAGCTCATCCCTCCAGGCAGGGTGACAGGGAGATCACCTCCAAGGTGTGGCAGGGCAAAGCATCCTCCTCCTCCTCATAATCACTGCAGGTTTGTAACCAGAAGATGTGATGGCTGATTTTCAGTGGATACTGAAGGGGACCACAGGCAGTACCAGCTGCATGGACAATGAGTGTTTGGTGTAATTTGTGTTATTATCTACCTTGCTACAGCCTGAGGACAGAATCCCTTTGCTCCTGCTCGGGGATCAGAGCCTGGGGGCCCGGGCTGCCATTGACAGAGACCATGGAGGGACCTGCCCATCACCGTGTTCTCCTCCACACCCTGGCCGCCTCCAACCTCGCAGCTAGGGCAGCCCTGCTGCCACCAGCTGCTGGGAGGGCAGGAAGGAGACATCACCCATGGGCTGGAGCAAGAGACAAGGGCTGTGGGAAGGCAGAGGTGACGTCCTCACTCGGAAGCCAGAAGGAGTACAAAGCAGGGCAGACACCACTCGGTTAAGAGGATTAACGAGGCGTTTTACACCCAGGAGAGGCAGGGAGGTGGGCAGGTCACCTGCAAGGCTGATAGATCATCGAGGGCTGCTCGAGTACGAGCCAACTCTGCAGGGAAACTAAGGACTTGCTTGCAGGGGATCAGGGGGGAAGAGGTTTCCACACCGCAGCTTCTCTTCAGACGGGATCACGCTGCTGCTCATTAAAGCACCAGTAAAAAAAAAATTGCTTTTGGAGCAAACCACGGGTGGGAAGAAGCCGATGGGAGCTCAGTCACCAGTCACCAGC